AACAGTGGCCAATTTACCATTTCAACTTTGTTGATATATCCAAATTATTTCGTTACTCCCACCGACGCAGCCCCAAACAGTTTCTTTAGAAACTATCAGCCTTTTTTTCGTTTTTTTAAAAGTGTTACGCAATTGGTAGAACTTGGGGGAGGGCAGGGGGCTAGCTCATGAATAATTTCCCATTTTAAAATTTTATGTTGTGATCACTAGGTATTTTTAACTCGGCACTTCTCAGAACCATTTTCATATACACTCTTAACTTGTGACTTTTGCGTTTTTGTATTTCAGAGAAGCAAAGAAGAAGATCCAGAGGTTATAAAAAAGCGGAGAGAGCGAAATAAAATCGCAGCGACTAAATGCCGTAAGCGAAAGAGAGAGAGAATCGAAAAACTAGAAAAGGTAAAAACCCCTTTCTACTGCCGCAACAGACGTGAGGGTAATTCAAAGATCGTTTAATCATGGAATACTCATTTTAAATCTTTTGGATCTTTTTATTCTGCCTGATTTATTGTTGAAACAGAATTTCTTCGTCATAGCCATGAAGGGGGCGTGTAACTTTCTGATCGTAAAGAGGCGTTAAATTCCTGTTCCTCTCTTGTATATACATAGATCTCGTTGCAATGTGGCGATCGATTGGAAAAATTTGGTATACAAGAACCGCCTGTAAAGAGAAACTCCCTTTTTAAAACCTTCCGACTAAGAGCTTGAATTTATTTTTGTATCAAATCAAATCAAAGAGGTCTGAGTATCACTGAGTGGTATAAAGTTAAATTGATATTAATATTTTTTTTCTTCTTCGTTTCTAGAAAACAAAAAACCTGGAGGAAACAAAGAGGAAGAAATTACAAGAAAGAGCGATACTTTTGGCAGAGCTGCGTCGATTGTCCACGGCTCTGAAAAATCACTGTTGCAAACTTGCGCCATTAACATCTGTGGGAGACTGTGGACGTACAAATCAATCAATGTCTTCATTACCGAATGTAGCACTTTTTAATTCTTTCCAATGTACGGAAACTTCGATGGATGTTAACTTCCTTTCATCTACGTCTGGAGTAGCAAGACTCCTGCAATAAGTGACATTACTAAATAGAAAACAGTTTGTGGCCATATGCAACAGACGTGACATTATTTTGAAACTTACATTAAGCTTTTAACATGTTAAACAATTCATATCTTGAAGATGTACTTATACCGGCTCTAATTTCTTCGGATTTCCGAAGATATCGTAAATTTTAAGGATTAATTGACTAAATTCCCTCTACGGTATTTTCACTATCGTTGTGGAAGTTGAACCCATAAAATTTTTACCGCTTTGTCATTTTGTAACAAGGTAGGTAAGATGCCTCGCATGTACTGTTCACTTTGAAAACTACCTACCTAGCCCCGCAATTCTACCAGACTTCAGTGATTAAATAAACTGGTTCATGACATATTTCCCGCGATTGTTAAATCTATAATACTTAAATCCCAGCAATAAACTACCATTTTCTTCCCCTTCCTCCCCACTGACATGCAGGTAGAAACTTAGAGAAAGTAACTCATGTTACCAATACTTGATCCGTTCTTTGTTTTGGTCGATAAACGAGCAAAAAAATGAAAGATTAGCGCCTCGGTGTCGTCGTAAAAGTTGTCAACTAGTTCGTTATCTGTTCGAGCATAAAACTTGAAAATTTCAAAAAAAAAATGTCATAGTAAGCGTAATCACCCTTTGAACTTTAGTTTATTTCGTGACGATCATCATGTCGAGAGTTTTGGGACTACCGTAAAGCCATCTGTTTTGTGTGACCGTTCCCACAATAGTACTCGTTGTGAAGGTACGATAACCTGTGCAGAAGTCATTAACCGAGTTAACTGAGTATTGAACGAATATACATTAATACCAGTTATTTGCTCGCTTTCATTTAGTTCAGTCGGTATATATGAGAGCTCCACAAAACGGGTCTTTATTTTCACAAAGACACAAACCATGCGATCAGTCGACCCTGGCGAAGCCTTATCGGCAAAAGTTAAGGTCTCCGACAAAATTTCTTGGAGTCTGTGAACCTATTATTGTTGTTGTTATCATCATACCGTTATTCTCGTGGTTATTATCATCACTCTTATTATTGATACCATAATAATCGCAATCTGAGCAACTGCGCACCTATGATACATCACCATCATAATCATTAGTTCAAAACATATTCTCACTGGAGCGGTCTTGTCAGAAGGTTGTACTGTTACTGTTAAGTTCAAATTATCAACTATAATCTAATAAAAAGTTTTAAACATCATATTTAGTTCGCGTGTGGGTAGATCCTCGCGAAACAGAGAGCGTCCATAACTGGAGCTCTCTGTCTTGTTTTTCTGCTTAGGGAGATGATCTTTCTGGCTTTGTAACTGGTAGCATAAAGGTGACAATGTCGTGCGCGGACGTTTTGTACAACTGCGTATATCACAAATTAAACAGGATCCATTGAAACAATCATTGATCCAAAATACCACCAAAGCGATGCCTCATGCTGCAATACTGCTGCAACGTTGAAAATTTTCTTTTACAAGAGGAAATCTTTAAGGAATAGCTCACCAGGTTATGGGAACGAATAAACAAGAGAGGTAAAGACGATAAGCATGTTAAATTAAAAACGGATGTTAAATGGGGATCATGAAAAATTTAAGCCGGGATTTACGAGATCGATAAACTGCGATACGGATAGTTTTAAAGTCCTCGCTGAGCAGTAGGCGTGAAATTTAGGTGCTTGCGTAAGAGTCATAAATTTAGTATGATATCTGAAGTGTCCGCAAGCGGTATGAATGATATTGTACTTGACCTGAGCGCGGAAAGCGGAAATTGATACGAGTTAACTGGCGACTAAGGCTCGGTTGCTTTAGTCGCCAGTTAAAAAGTGAAGCCTAACTGTAAAAAAAGAAAAGGGATTAAAACTTTAATTGCGATTGCCCTAATTATACTGACTACTTCTGAGGTTCTCTTCGTTGTGCACGGAACTTTTGTATCATTTCAACGGGGTTCTGGGAATGTTGCCATAAACAGAGCTCTTCTGTTTATAGTTTTCTCGGAGCCTCAGAAGGATATGGCATTTTTGTTTCGTTCTGCAAAACGTTTGCATCGCTCATTCGCAGACTTCTTACGGCCTAGCGCTATACTATGCAAAGCGACAAACACTGAAATTTGGGATGTTTCAGAGGAAGTCATTCACTCGCAGGGATAAACCCCAAAGACAACCTTTCGCTAATATCCGTAAAGGAAAAAATAAAGCTAAAAGACAACTTGTGAGATTTTCAGTATTAGACGACTGAGGATAGCGTTATGTTAAATTACCTTGCACATTGGGATCCTTACCGCAGATTAACGACACTTTATTTTTCTAAATTTCGTTTATTAAATCTTGGGCTTTTTGGCACGAACTATTACGAAAGTGTTTCGCCTCAACAAGTTCCGGTCATTCATTGCCCATGCTTCTTTGCGAGCGCAATACATGTGTCACGCAACACGACTAGACAATGATCGCCGACAAAGAGTGACTTGTAATCAAAATGCAGCTTCAAACTATTGACTAATTTAGTGAAAAAAAAAAACAAAAAAAAACAAAAAACGACAGCATCTTAGGCTTTTCTTTTTGCTTATTTACAAGAGAAATCATTCTTCAAGCGTAATACATCAAATTGGCTTTCTTTTTGGCATTCACTTCCATAATTCCATCCATGTAATCTTCATGGATTACCTCGGTGGCTTCACGACGCAAAGCGATCATGCCCTGAAAAAGAACAAGTGATCAAAACAACTCTGAAACAATAGTTTAATACATAAGCAGAAAAAGAGATATAAAAAGACAGCTGAATAAGTAAAGGGAACAGAGGAGCGGTCTGATTAGTATCCTACAAACAACTTGTCACGAATAAAAAAATATCTCGAACACCGCATTTGAAGCCATACATCTCCATATTATCCTGTCCAATTCAGGATTAAAATGTTCTTGTGTACAATTTTACATCTCAAAATAGATTTATAAAAATAAAAAAAAAAACAGATGTGAGGGAATGCTAGATAGTTATTTTGGACAAGAAAATAACCCACTGTACCTTTCAAATGGTAAAATAAATTTAATTAAAAAAATTTTATCAGGTGTCAATTGTTTGTTATTTCTTTTCCTTCAACGCGTGCAAAACTGTTTCTGACAACTGCCAAGTGCGGGAATTTTCCAGACATAATAACTTAACATATCCTCACAATTAACTTAAAGATTATCTAAAAAAATTTCTGAACAGAAAAGAAAGATGGTGCAGATAGGAAAGAGAATCTGAGTTTCCTAGAAGGATTCGAACTCGCGAAGATTCACAAAAAGAGAGCTTGATTGAAACTTACTGCCTCGACACAAACAGCTTTCAACATGGCCCCATTGTAATCGTCAGTACACCGTGCTAACTCATCGAAGTTCACATCAGGACTGTGGAAAGATAGAAAAACTTTCATCTTCGTAACAAAACATCAAAACAGGACAATTAAGAAAACCGCATTTGTGATGACGACTCTCCGGTTCAAAGAACACCCGTTCCTGGTTTTTAACTTTTCCGACGTCCATACATGGAGCTAGCTCCATTTTAAAAATATTCCACAATTCAATCGTCGCCCGGCGCTTTAAAATTGAAAAAGCTGAAGTTTATAAGAGAGGCGTAGCAGCAGGGGAAACCACAGTGGGTCTAGAGTCACGCCACAAATTTAAAGGGCTACCCACGCAAAATCCCAGCGGTTGGGGGGGAGGGGACATTCCCCTATGAAAATTACCGCGGTTTTCAACGAAACCTCTCTGTAAAAGGTACCAGAGTCTCATTTTTCGGGGTGCCGTCCAAATTCACTTTGACACTCTATTAAACAAAGTCTGAATGTTCAATCTACAGATTCCACCACCACGACAAGTACCAAACAAATGGACGCAAAGAACACTTAGTATTATCCTATTCAATTCAATGAACAAACGAGACAGTTACTGCTAGAGGAAGTTTCCGGTGGGCATGTTCTCACCTGACGTTCATTTTTCTGGAGTGGATCTGCATGATTCGTGCCCTCGCTTCCTGATCGGGGTTCGGTAGTTCAATTTTCCTGTCTAAACGGCCTGGAAACGCAAGTTTTATGCATAATCAGCCAAGCTCACAATGCATGCATCTTTCTCGTACTCTTGAACGTTATTATTTATTCTACACTTGTTTGTGAAAGGAAAAAGTAAAAAAAAAAATAAAGGAGAAAAAAAAGTTAACAAAACAAAAAAAGGTTACCCAAATGAAAAGAAAACATCAATTAACCTCAGACCTTCGGATTCCGCGCTCCGATGCTCTACCACAGAGACTCAAATCGTGAGCAAGGCCCATCACAAAGTTCATATGTGACACGCATACTGCTACGGTCGGCAGTGTCTGAGGTCTGAGGTTCCATTCCTCATGGGGACTCAGAACTTTTTCCTTTTTGTTTTTCTTTGTCCCACGCAAACTTACCATTTTTCTTATCAATTAAGTTCTAGCAAAAAAGTGACGAAATTAAGATTCAAACCTGATCTCAATAACGCTGGATCCAGAATGTCCACACGATTCGTGGCAGCTACGACCTGAAATTGCGAGTAAGAACAAAGTAGAAAAAAACAGGAAAACAATTCAATAAACATGGACAAATTGCAAAACTGCAACAATAAAAGGATTAAACGGGGGCAATTTCAAAAAATTCATATGTCTACTCTCAGAGCAATCAATATTAAATTTCTCCTTGCAATATCACCTCTAAATCCCACATTTAAGGTCAGGAGAATAAAGGAAATGATCACTAACTGAAGAAAATCTTGATTGGTAAACAAATTCTCCGTGCCAATAGAAAGAGAAATAGAGAGAGAGCCCGAAGGAGAGTATTCCTGCTGATGCTATGGTGTACTGGGTTGAAAAATCGTCTCCAAATTACCTAGTCTCCCTCGCAGCCGTTTTTTTCGGATGTCACGCAACGCTCACCGCAAGGAAAATAAGAAAGGGAAGTAGTTCGGTTGTCAGCAGCCGTTCTTTTTGGGGGCAGCGTTGCGTGACATCCGAAAAAACGGCTGCAAGGTAGACTATAAATAACCCAGCATTAATCTAACTTGATTTTACCTTGATATCATGATGTGAGCTAAATCCATCTAGCTGATTAAGCAACTCCAACATTGTCCTTTGCACCTGAGAAAAAAAATAAAGTAACAGAAAAATAAGGATCTTGCTAAATATAATAATAATAATAATAATAATAATAATAATAATAATAATAATAAAATATTTATATAGCGCCCATCATTTTCAGTGCTAAGTGCTTTACAATGCAATTCCTTCCTGCTACATTAACGGTAACTGAAAGTTGTTCACCAGCAGACACACATCCACTTGTTCCAGATGATTAAAAGCCACACACACAACTAACAACAA